GACGTTTGCACATTGGCCCTGTTGTCCTTCGTTGAAAATTGTTAGACCCCAACTCCCCCTTCCAGACAACTTAGATACCCTCAATGTAGGCCTATATACTTTAAGAGTCCTGATGTTTAGTAAAGCCTGGTTTCCATAAAATCGCTACACGCTATCGCCAACTCCTTGGGCGACTCTGACTGGTCAGTTGAATGAAGCTTGGTTTCTATAGAATCGCTTACCCTATCGGAGACAGTAGCCGACAGTTACCGGGAAGGTCGAACCTGGTTCAACTTTGCCGATTGCGTTGCAGACGAATCGGGGTGCCTTCCCAATTGCGTCAGGGCAGCTAGCAATGCACCCTGATTCGTCTGCAACGCAATCGGCAGAGTTGAACCAGGTTCAACTTCCAATACAGTTGTCAGCGACTGTAGCCGATAGGGTGAGCGATTCTATGGAACCCGAACTTAAGAGCGTTCCCGATTGCGTCGGGGATAGCTACACGGTGCAAGGATTGCAGTGAAAACGCTGTAGCGACTGTGTAGCGATTCTTTGGAAAACCAGGCTTTAGCTAGCAACCGACCTTAAAGTAAAAGTACTCTCCACTGTCAAGCAATTGTAGAATAGTGTTTGACGGAATTGGTACAATCTCATCAGCTAAGTAATTTTTGACAGATATCATCTGGCCCATTGGCCTTATTGGTCTACATTTAATAAATTGATAGCAAACAACCATTGCTTTGCAGAGGCACCACTAGAAGCAAGTAACGATTGGAGTGTGTTGATTGGAGTGGCTTGAAAAATTGAATCAAGCCAGCAGACACTTATCAAATGAGTCATCGTACATTTTATATAATTCTTTTCATTTTTTGACACATCACATTCTGAAAGCTTGGGGGGTTTAGCAATTTTTATCTTTTATCTAAATGACTTCACATTTGGTTAATGTTTTTTTTTTTGGCTGTTGTCGAAAAAGCGAACGAGTACGACACGAGCTAGTCGAGTGACCGAGTGGGTTAAGTCAGAGGCACCGTCACTCGAAGTTTTAAAACGGGCACACGAGGTTCAATCATGAACGTAACGTGACGAGGCGCGCAACGTCTCATCATCAAGCGGTCCTAGTATGATGTAATGTATATAATAATATGTCGCTCTTATATAGCTCTTCATGCACAATACCTCTAAGCGCTTCACATTACTACCCCGGTCATTGGATCAAACACATATGGAACACATACTCAGCTTCCTGTGGAGAATTCCATAATATTGCAGCTAGTAATCAGTGCAGTTGTGTTCGACCAGGTACCCACTTGTACTCCTGGGTGGAGAGAGGCAACCGTATATAAAGTGCCCAAGGACACAAGCGATGTGCACAGCTTCGAACCCCCGACCTCGAGGTTGAGAGTCCAAGCCACAACCGATGCGCCAACCGCTTCTATCAACGCTAGCTCGATGCCCCCTTACTTATGGTTCATCTGGTACAACCAAGTCTTCTGGGATTAAGACTAAACTGTAGGCCCAGTGTGTACTGTACTTTGAAGACCCCAAGAAATCCTTCGGGCTTTCCGCTCTCTGTGAGCACTTGACGGCGTTTGCTGATTGTCGATGGCAGATGGAAGACTGAGCGGATCCTCATTAAACGATTGGTTGCGCGTGCCTCCTCGTGTTGTGAGGAATCCAGCCGACGACCGTCAGTGCAATGGTGCCCGCTTCCCGGTTTTAGAGTTCTAGAAATTTAATTTCTGTCTTGAATAGGGATAGTGCAATTAATTCTCTGGAATACTTTAATGTAAATTGTAATATAGTGCGTTTTCCATTTACTTTAATTACAGATGGAAATATTAAGTACCAATTATTACCAAAGTACAGTTTTACCTTGAATGGCTTTTAGCCTTGTTTTAGGTAAATTTGGAGTATGATTATTACAAAAAAACAAACATTATCTCTATCCATGGGTGGCCATCAAATCATCTTACGAGACGCAACCGGTGCCTAGAATTGTTCAATTCAAGGTAATAATTAAAAATGTATTTTTTTCCGGCTGTAAGTATACAAACGACGTTGATATCACACACATTGAACCAAGGCCGAAAAGGTAAAGGTAGGAGAATAACCCATAACTCTCAGATCACTCTGAGAATGCTAACTGCTTATGATAGCATCCTTAGTAATATTCCACAGCACCGCTTAGGTGCGTTTTAGGAGGGAAGGGTCTGACCAACCCACAATCAAAAGTTTTCTGGGTTTTTATCATCGTTCTCGTCATCATCATAATACTGAATGATCGTAACTGAAGGTTTTGTACACTAAATGTTCTTAAATAGAAGGGTCTATTACAATTAATGTTTTCACACAATATATATATATATATATTAAAAGCTGATATATGAGCATAAAATAATTTCAGACTGGATTATAATGTCCCAAATAAACAAATAAAACTCGACGTTGGAAAATTTAATGGATAATGCAGGGATTTTTGCCGTCAGACTAATAATCTTATTGTACATGTCGCTTCTGATTATATTGAACTCATCCAGGTCCAGAAAACCTAGGCATATACATCTAGATATAATCATGCCACTGGCGCGCGACATGATGATTATAATACACTGCAGATGACGATAATTTAAATATTAATGATGATCATGACGACTATGCTAATGACGATGTTGCGCACAACGGTGAGAATGATGATAAAGCTAAAAATATTAATGCTAATAAAAATAATGATAATGATGATGGTGGTGATGATGATGCTGACGAGGAAAATAATTAAAATGACGAGGATATTTATTGGTAAATATGTTGATGAAGAAACTCGTGAAGACGATGCTGATGAGGGCGATAATGACGATGATAATTATTATGTCAATGACGATGGTAATAATGATGATTATGACGAGGTCGATTTATATTATTGAATGCTTATAATATTGGTGGTAATATGATATTATAATAGGTAACTATTATAATAATAAGGGCACGAACTAATTTATTTACCGATTATTATAATGGATACAGGAACTCGGTGGCACCGGCCATTCCGTCTTTCGAATTAACATGACTTTCATTAGGTGAACCACAAACACGGTACAGTATTACTATGGAACATTGTATCTTTTGCACTATGCACATAATTATAATTGTGAATAACAGAGATCAATATGATACCATTTAATTAGGCAATTTTAGGATAACGATAAAACGAGGTATGAAAATAATTTGATATTACTGTAGGCCTATTTACTAATATTTCTTAGCTTCGACCTACAAGTTAGTTTCTAACTGAACAACGGCTCCACCATTATGTGAGCGAAAATATAAGTTGTACGAGAGAAGGCATCTGAGGGTAGGTTTTGCACCAAAATAGTGGTGTAGCGGTATGAAGCTCGCCTTGATAGCGAGAGTTTTAGGTTCGAATCTCATAAGACATACTTGCACAACTGAAACTGGCAAACTTGCCAGATATTGTACACGAAGCACAGAGATAGCTGAAAGAGCCACTGGTTCTTCTGCCGATTTAGTAGTAGTAGCAGTAGCAATTGCAGCAACAGTGGTTCTCAGGAATTCTATAGCTATAGCGGTATATTAATACATTTGGATAAGCATATGAAAACAGTATCAACTCCCAAATGAGACAAAGTTCGAAAATTAAAAACAAAAAAAACAAAAAAAACAAAAACGTTTTCGCCGACTCTCATAATATAATTACGAACTCTTTGAATTCTTTCTATCCGATATAAGTGGCTGAACTATAAGAAATGGATAATGATTTATGCGTCTGTAGTTAATCAGCAAAAAATATGTTCTCGTTTCTAGTTAAAATTAAATAATGCTATAATTACTATATAAAAAGTAAGCAATACAATTTGTTGAAGTGTATTACCTCAATACAGGCAGTATGTATGGAATAAATTACCGGAATCTGCTAAAATGTAAAAGAAATGCAAATCGAGACGACAACGCTAAGCTCTCTGTGCCAAAGAGAGTTGACGAAATAGCGTTCACTAAATCATATCGATAGATACACAGTAAGTACTTGAGTAGGCTTAATAATACTAGAACGGTTCGTTGGATTGATTAAGAATACTAATAATAAAAATGGTATTGCGGACATAAAAACCACGCAACAACAACAAAGATGAAATCATAATCAACGATACAAGGCTTCGCAAACATCTATGGCTTGCCATCAGCGCAACCGATAAGAATATTCTAAAAACGTGGAATATTTAGGCTAGCTTACCTTGCATCAAGCGATTGATTTAGAAACTACTTGCACATTTTTCTGTTCTATGGCTGAATCGTGCTTGATGTATAGCATACGTTTTCTTGAACCGCGGTTGGGAATTACTGAGCATTATACTATTCGTTGACGGAGTTGGCGCATAGCTTGTTAAGCCCAACGAAGCATGCTAGCTGCATGGTTTAATCATACAATGTCATTATACTGCATATTGAGACAACGCATTTGACTACATTTCTGATGAAAATGTATCGTCTAAACAAACATTCTTTATTAGTGATCACTAATTAAATATTTGATGAGTAGCCGGGCATTGATTAAGAAACTTTAAAATAAACACGTCCAATTATAGGCTATTGGCTTATTCTGAAAACTCGATCAATTCAATTTAAAACTGGTGTCCGTGTTTCCTAGACAACATAGCTACTTCAAAAACTTTTGCAGAGCCCTGTGCCAGTCTTAACAGAATGATCTCTCATCTTATTGTTGCCAGGAACTCAGTGCGGCCGACGGCACATATAGGGAGAACGCAACGACGCGCGCACGCAACGGATAGTTTTTAATGACGATCCGTTCAGAGATTGCTAATAGGCAGTTTTCGCCGCACGACGTTAACCTTAACGTTAACGGATGACGTCATAATTTATTCATCTTGTGTTGCGGAGTACGTTAATTTCAGGATTTTACGTGCCCGACGTACATTAGTTACGGGTTTGAGCATGCGTATTTCAATTTGTTTACAAAAGGGGCGGCGAAAACTGCATACCGACTGACAATCACCGGACGGGAGTAGAGTAGGTTCGCAGACAGCGGAGTTGCATTCACTCAGTGAGTGCCCGATTAGACTAGGGCTTTGCCTCGTTTGCCTAAGTGTCTATAATTTGAAATATTTTAGATCTACATTATGTTGACATGAATGAACAGTATATCCCACGATAGGATCAAGTAGGCCTAATCATTTAGTGTTGATAATTATTATATTATCCTGTAATTCCTACGGCTACATCTATAGGTACATCCTAGAATTTCTTTTATGCTTTTGCTATGGTTAATTTCTGTGCATCACATCCTCATCATCATCCTCATCACCATAATCATCACCCCAATCACCAACATCACCATCATCATCATCATCATCACCGTCGTCGTAGCCGTCATCATCATTATCATCGTATTGTATAAGTTAAAATAGAGCTGACACAATTTCGTGACTTTCATTCATTCATTCATTCATTCATTCTTTATTTAGCCTTTCATAAAAATCACAATACAATTGGTACAGGCCTACAGTAAAATAAATCAAATTATAACCAAAACTGAAATTACAGGAAAAAAAAGTGTAAATCTAGTGACGCAAGGAGCAAAAGCAATTAAAATCGCGTAGCTCACAAGCCTGTCAATTCATCCTTTGAAAAACAGAAATAAGATAATACAATAATGTTGATTTTCTAAAGTCGCAATCAAGAACTGGCGCTCCAGATTTGTGGAGCATCACTTCCATCTCAATAAATAAATTTAAGTATATAATATAAATAGGCCTATACATTCTAAATATAAAAGATAAATGAATCAATAAAAAGTGAATCAAGCAATATGTAAATGAATTGATTTATGAAAGAATGAATTGATTAATTAATTAAATTCATTATTTAAGCGACAACAACGGTGTGACGGTCAGCCATGTGTCCATGGCAACGGAGACAAGCTCACATGCGGTGACGTATTGATATGAAAAGATGATTATAACGAACACTGTTTAGAAAATGTCACGTTATAGGAGTGATGTTTTTCCCTACCTGACTTGTTATCGTATGCCTACCGAACACTCAGTACGTCCCCAAATACTAGCGAAAAACATCGCAAGTGATTCGGGTGGGAATCGAACCCACGACCTCTAAGTATCTAGCCTGTTGTCTTAACCACTATACCACCGAGCTTGCGCTTGGTGGCTAGTGATGAATCCGATCCCCTAATAGCAGCGGGTACTGCAAGTGCTATAAACATATGAATTTCCGTCAGGAAAATATCATTGGAGTGATCTGAGTGAAACTTCAGCCAACGAACAAACATGACGCCTTTGTTGATCTGAAAGTAGAAAAGTTATAATCAATCAGTAGACTACAACCCAAATCGAGAAAGAAAATGTACAAATGTATTCACCGGTGGTGAGGAGAAATAAACGCTGTCATAAAAATAACAAATTAGTTATAATTATAACACAATATGGTTTGCATACATACACATATACCTTTTAATGCATACCATCATTCTGTAGGCCTCCCTATCCAGTGGCGGTGCCGAGGGGTGCCTAAGGGGATATACCCCCCTCCCCGTCGGGGAAAAAAACCACAATTCGTCGGGGAGAAAAAAAAATCAAAGAAATAATATGTATTTTGTACATAGCAATTGTTATTGTCGTGATGGAATAATAGACAATAACTGGATTTGCGTCAGGAGAAACATGTATAGGTGTGATTTTGCCCTACCTGAGTAGGTGGTCTAGAGGTATGATGCCAGGCTAGTAATCTAGAGATCGTGGGTTCGAGTCCCACCCGAGTACAACTTGCGATTTTTTTTTGCAGTTGTTTTCAACTACTGAGTATTCGGTACATTTCCACGTCAGGTAGGGCAAAATCACACCTATACATATTTTGTACATATTAATAGACTCTAAAATGTCATATTTTCGCCCTCTTGGCCACTTTCGAAAGAATTCGAGCGACGCCCGACCACGCCCATATTTTCTCGTCGTTGACCTTGGGCCTCCCTGTCGGGGAAATCTGGCGCCGCCACAAAGTATCTTGTCGTTCAAAAGCTAGATACAAATTACGTAAGTAAATATGTAAATAAAGTAGAAAAAGAAAATTTTAATGAAATAAGCCTACTTTCGAGAAAATAGTTGTAAAAACAAACAAAATATTTTGGTAACTACTACGGTACCTACTATCAATGCCGTAGCCAGAAATGTCAAACAGTGCGGGACAATATCAGGGTGGACTCACTTTACGCGTAAATTCAAATAATATGGACCCATTTTATGCAAAAATATGAACAATTTGGACCCCTTTTCCTAAAAGTTCACTTATTTTAGGCAAAATATGAGAAATCTGGACCCATTATTAAAAAGTGGACTCATTTTATGCATAAAACTTCATAATTTGGACCCATTTAAAAAAATATGGATCCATTCTTTGAGGACCCATTAGAAAAATTGTGTGGGACTGTCCCACATAGCTGGCTACGGCATTGTCTATGCCTACTTTCTTGTATCTTCTACAATACTCTGTAAGCAGGCCTTGGTTACTCAAACATCCAATGGCAAATGGAAAATCTGCAGGGATCTTGAAAAAATGAGGCCTTCATAATAGGCCAGGGATTCCTATTATGAAATTAAAGTCTTGTGTGGTCTACTTACGGAGCTATCTCCGTGATCTCTGTAATTGATGAACACTTACTTAGCAATAATTATTCGACGAGTCGGTGCATTATCTACTTTAGTGGTTTCTATTTTTACTCCGTGAAACAACAGTTCATTGTGATGATCTGCTGATCCACCAATATGCATTTTACTAATAATTACTAAATAATATTAGGATCATTTGGATGACACTTTGAACAGCTAATAACAGATAAAATGCTTTCTAATAATTGTAACATCACAGGTAGAAAAGCGACAATTTATGAAATAAATGCATTTTGTAATCATTCGTTTAAAATTGAAACTGTCAGTATAACTAGTAAAATAACTTAGCGCAGGTAATCTTGCAATGGCGTAACGACTATTGGTTTAAGATCGTTAGATCAGTCCCAGGAGGATAAAATCGTCTGCAGCGTACCTTTAAACAAAACTCACGAGGATTTTTATTTGTTGTCGTTCTTGTAAGATCACAAGCCTTGCTTTTCATACAACTAACCTTAGATACGAGGAAAAATCTGCCAATGAACAATTTGAGAATTTTAAAAAGTTCGTTGAGCTTCGAATTGGTAGGCCCATGATGAAGCCATGTCGCGGCAGACAGTGATTTGCTATGGAGTCTATGTTATGCGTGTTAAAACCGCCATCATGAAATCCACCGATTCTGACAAGGAATAAAAATAGGTCAATTGTGTAATCGATCACTAGTATAATGATGACACATTATCTTTATTACTATTACCATCGTCATTGTCGTTGTCGGTTTTGCTGCGCTGTGTCGCCGTCGCCATCATCGACGCCGACACCACTCGTCGCCGCCAACGTCGTCATCGTTATCATTATCGTTATTAGAGAGGTTTCGCAACCATACGAAAACAATAACGAATACGTCATTATCATTATCGCCATTCGTGCCTAAAACAATCTTGACAATATGGTGTATGAGCTGAATAAGATCCTTGATTCATGCAAGAGGCATGAATCTCCTACCTTGTGACAGACATGCTACTGTTGGGGAAGAGTTGTCTAGAAATTGATGACGTAACCGTACCGGTATTCGTTATCGTTTTCGTAAGATGATGAAGAATCCCTGTTGGTTTTGTTGTTATCATTATTATATTTTAATATAAAATATAATACTGTACAACTCTTTTTTTTTAAACTTAAGGCTTGTGCAGTGTGTGTTTTACCCTATTTTACGGATATACCGTACGCTATATTCATCCAATAACTTGAATAAACGAACTGTTGTTTTTTATACAGTATATTACATTTTAAATCAGCAGATTCGTCACAGACTGGATATAACCCGTCATCTAATATAATGCACTATGAAATTTAATACAACTACTGCACTTGACGAATAGTTCCTGCTTTTATACAACACAACTCTACATTTTAAGTCTAATATCTTTTCTAATTCTTTTCAAAATGGAAGTTCATTTACCCATGACCTAATTCATGTAAACTGGTACGCAGCAACATGCGCATGTCACCGTAATATTCGACCAATGAAAATCGCTCATGAGTACAGGTAGAAGACTGGTAGGTACAACCTAGTAAGAGTACAATGTTTGTGATATACTTTTTTTTTTGCATATGTAGATTATACATGTTAAATCCGAACTTAATTTTAGGGGATAGGATAGGATAGGATTATTTTTGGTGTGAATCACACCAAGTTTGACACACTAAGTCCGAAGATTTATTTCCGGTGAGGTCTTTCTGGTGGTAAATTGGACAGTACACCGGGAGACAATCCCCTACTCTTTTCTGAAAGGTGTACTACCTTTTTAAACGTGCACATATGGGCTATAATGCACACGGAACCAACGGCTTAAACATCTCCGACAGTGCGCTATCGTAGCCTTGCATTTCAGCTCTCCAGCTGAAATACAAGAAGAGCAGTGATGGGAATTGAACCGTGGACCTAGAGATCTCTGCGGTTTATTGTTATTAACATTACAGATTGGAAGTTATCAAACTGCAACACACTGAGGCAACGCTTTATGTATTTTAAATTGCTGTCTTAGCCTTTTGTGGTATTTTCGATACATTTGTAAAAGGGTAAGTAAATAAATGTTTCTATTTCTATATTTGTTTAAAAAACGCATTTACGTTCGTGTTATAAATCAGTCACAATCAGAAACGAAATTACAGAGCAAATTACAATTCGGTCACAATGGACTGTTATGGTTGCCGTACCTTACCCAAAATATCGCTCTCTACGCCGTCACCATCAAGCTTCAAGATATCAAGGCTAAAATTAAAAACAAATTATAACTACTCGGTTTTCGTGACATTCAAATAAAATATCATAAAAATATATTAAGGGACAGGTACAGTTTCCTGTAAAATTATCATCGAACATGTTTTTTTTTTAAATTTAGGGCCTACGTTTAATTTCCTGACATAATTTTGAACAAATTACCATATGAAGTTCAATGCTCAATTAAATTTAACACAATAAGAAAAGTCAAAAGCATGGCGCATAAGAATGGCATGGTCATCGGGCATAACAAACAATTTGAGTGTCAAGAATTAAAAAAAAATCAATTATGTAAAAACAACTTATTACCTTGTGAATATAATACAATGGTCAAACTTCTTTGAAAATCTCGTTCGATTTGTATTTATCGTTGACGTGTAACTTTCTAAGACGGCGTGACCATCAACAAAGTTGACATTCCTTTTAGAAAGACGCAATCTGTTTGCTCTATCAACCTATCAAACAATGACAATAAATATAAAGATAGTGATGACGATGATGATGACGACAAAACAAAACGATACAAATAATAGCAACGACAATAATAATAGGCCTTTATTACAAAGTTTAATTTATAATAACAATTAGCAATTAAAATAAGACCATTCGTAGTTTTAACTGCTCATGCCTGTATCAAGGTCAGTCGACGTAAACAAACATGAACACAACATAAGTTTATATCGATTGAACTTGGAAACGGACATGCGCAGTTCAAACTACGAATTGGCTAATGGCAAAGACTATCATTACATTAATTTATCATTGCACTACTATAATGTTTTTTTGTTAATAATTATACAAAAATAACGTGAAAACAAACCATTCGAAAGTCTTTGTCTATCATTATATCTTCAGTAACAATAAAGTCAGCAAGTTGAATACGTAACGATGGATTGCTAAGTGTTGATTCTACAAATACGGTGTCCATCTTCAAATAAAATATACAGATAATAATAGGTAAAGCCATCAAGTACAAGGATTAAAATGTTTAAAACTCTCAATGATAAAACGTAATGTGAAATAATAAATAGGCCTATTGTAGCGAGGGTCCGTGTTTACCTCGTGTACCAACCAACGCACTATATTCCAGAAACGACGCGAGTCTTTTATAAATCTTTTATGCAAAGTGGAATCAAAAACCACTAATAACTGAACCACAGCTCTGGTATTTGTTAAGCTATCCGAACGCTCATTTCGACCATCGCTTGGTTTCTCTGACCAGAGACATGCTTCTGACTCAGACCTGGGATTGGTTAACATTTTTGATTTGCGGTCCGTCTTCTCTTGTATGCATTCACTCTGTTGCGACGCTGCATTCGTACTTGTGCAGTAAGGGACTGCTCCCAGGTGAACTAGAAACAGTATAAACCTTAGAATACTCATCGATATTCTAATAAATATCAGTTGTTGTTAAACCAAATATATAATTTAATTCCTGAATGAATACGATTTTGATAATAATACAGTATTTCAACTGTTCACATTATACCAAATCTACTGCTCAAGTCGGATGTAAAACTTGAAATACAATCGAGTATCACTATGGCCTGGTGGATAAGAACAATTCATCGTTAGTTGTCGCGAATATCAAATATCAGCGACATGTGGATGTCCTTTCAATTCAATTAAATTAAACAAAACATTTATATACTTCCAGAGCCACAACAAGAAATTACAAAATTACAAATACAGTAGTACAAATATTTAAAAATTGTTCACTGGGATACCACACTAATTTTATTGCAAACGAATTAACAATTTGTTAAAATACTTTATCGTTATAGATTAGTATAGGCTTACTGTTTAAATTACAATATTTTACCGATCATACAATAACAAATGGGTATCTTTACATAGCATTGGACCTTTATTTTTAACACTTACATAGGCCTAGGCTTATATTCATAATGAAATAAGTCCCACCCGAGAACAACTTGCGATTTTTTTTCGCAATTGTTTTCAAACGTACTGAGTATTTAGTACATTTCCACGTCAGGTAGGGCAAAAATTACACCTATACATTTTAAATCCTGTCTTTGAAAAGGTCATCAATATTCACAAGTTTGACGTTATACGTTAACAAATAATACCATTAGGTTAACGTCGTGCGGTGAAAACTCCCTTTAAGGCCTCTGATATACGTAGGCGTGGACAACCTTGACCGTAACTTCTTCTAACCTAGAGAGGGCGCTTTAGATACAAACAAAAACAAAAATACAGTAATTCTCACTGCATGTGACCCCCCTCTTTATACAGAGCTCGCGTCAACTATCTTTTATCCCTGCTAATACGCTCCCTGAACTCGCTTTGGAAAGCAGCATCAGCGCGAGCAAATGTGTTAATTTCTGTGAGTATGATACTGAAATCATAGTAATGTCCTTAGTCTCAGTGTCAGTGATGTAGAAAATGGCTTAGGCCTAGGCCTGTATCCGTACTATTGATTGAATATCCACGGTTAGACTAGGCCTAGGCCGTTGTCTCGGGACTAGGCTACTACCGTAACTACTCTACTTTTAGGCTAGCTAGGGCTAGCTTTTGGGGGAAGGCTTCTAACTACCTAGTCTAAGGCCAGGCCGAAAGCCTAGCATAGCTAGAGCGGTCTATCTAGGCCCCTTCAATATTGTTTTATTATTATATTATACAGTATATTGTCATATTGAACAAAACAAAATATATTCTTTTCTCTTTTATAGATTGTTATTATCCAAGAATGTTCAAACTTCGGAAAGTTTCAAGTCATATAAACTACCAGCCAGCAGCAGTAAGATTAAAAGCCTGTTTCAATTCATTCTAACATATAGTTATTTTAATGTCATTTTCATTATTTTAATCTGATGATTGAACTTGTTAATTTAAAAAAAGAAATACTAGTAGAAGTTTAATTTATAGAAGTCAGTTGTATTTGATTTGATGAATAATACATTTTTGTATTTCTTAATATTAATTTTATAATTTATATTTATTAAGGTGCTTGATGGAGCTCTCAAAAGTAATGACATATGTAAATTGTTTAGCACACCTGGGCACCTTTTCATGCAGAGGGGCAGTCAACTACAGGTGTTTGATGCTTTCCCAGCAGACTTAAAGGTATGAATCAGAAATTGTTATTGAAATACAGGTGTACCAGGTTGTGAATAGCCATTTCAGAGAGATCTGGGTTTAAATAAACTTTCTGTTACATTTTTTTTATTGTATGTTGTTGCACATGGTGATATCCATATCCTGGTAGCTTCAGTGAAACAATTAATGTTACACAGTATTAAATATATGCAAACATTCTGAAATTGCAGTACAGTACATTGGGATTGAGGTTTTTGCTTGTTCAGTGGGTGGAGTACAGTATGTTGATTTCTGGGATACATGACTCCTGGGAGATTTGGGACTGCTGCAGTAGTAAACAGAATTCTAAAACTACTGCACCAAAAATCCACTGATTATTTGCAACTAGAATATAAGTATGGTAACTCCAAAGAATGAGAAATGTGAGGCCATAATTGATTCAATTGAATTGATTATGGCCTCATGGTTGTCGTTCCTATTGCTACCCTCCTTGTATTTTAGCTAGAGAGCTGATACGCTAGTTACGATAGCACACTGTCTTTTGAATGAGATGTTTAAGTTGTTGGTCCTGTGTACATTATGGCCCATGTGCACATTAAAGAATGCAGTACACTCTTCGGAAAAGAGTAGTGATTGTCTCCTGGTGTACTGCCCTATCACTACCAGAAGGACCCCACTGGAAATAAGTCTTCAAACCTTTGTGGGTTATCCTTGGTGTTTACACCGAATCAATCCAATCCAATCCAGCTTAACTGGATTGTTCATCTTCTCTATATGTATTGCTAAAACAATTAATAAAATGATGGATATTGTATTTATTCAGGTTTATATATAATTTCTTTCTAGTCATCAACACTATGCAAGCCATTTACATTCTTTTTGTCTGGGACATCCCCTGTGATCCATATCCATGTTCTGCAAACAAATTGGAATATCGCTTTTATGGTAAGTAGGATATTGATATGCTTACTACTGTACTACACTACTGTAAGGTAAATTCTTGCCTAGCCATAATAATCCTTGCAAGGCTCATATGGGTTGGAGCTTATTCCCAGTTTCAAATAGCGTCAAAATAGGCACAGCAAGTCATTGAAACCCTGACCTTGAAGTTGGGATATCAAACCATTTCCACTCCATGCTACACTACTGTACAGCAAGTATTTTGTTTGGATGCCATAGAGATGTGGTTGCACTGGTTATTTACACATACGTTATGTAATTAAATTGCGTACTATCTGAACATTTTTAGTGGGAAGAAGCAACTTGGTTGCTCAAGCTTTTATCGGAGAGGGTGCATGCTTTCCCCTTGCGCTTTCCTGTTGATACACCAGTGAAAAGTCAACGTTGCTGTGGTAGATACTAAGAAATGACTACTCTGTTGCTTTTCTTAAATCAGGTACATGAGGATGGTGATGTAGAAATCTGGAAGCACATCCAAGGCAGTCACTCCTGGAGTAAGGTTCATCAGGTGTGCATCTGCAATACCAAAGACGCATTGGTCACCAAGGTGCTCATACTGGAGGAACATAAGAAAATTCTTTGGTTGGAAAAGAATCCAGGCGGGGAGGACGACTGCTGCTATACTGTAAATGCGAGATCATTTAGTAATGGTGAGAACAAATAGTAGTACTGTAATGGCCTTATGACACTTAATTATTTCTTTTTATTTACATATCTGATGGACAATATTAAATTACCATCAAGATTTTCATTGCCAGCTAAATGCCGTTTCCGAATGCAATATGGCTGATATATTTGATCAGTGACGGATAGAGGGGCCCTGGAATTAACAGATGGAGGGTCTATACCACCTGAGTCCTACCATGGTTGGGGCTCAGACATAAATTTGAATATAATTTTCTTTTTTCTCTGAATTTCCCCATCCCCACCTCCCCCTTGATTCCACCCCTGGTGATAGTAGTATGTTTGTCTTATGGAGTGATACTTTTTTGAATAATGAAAATTTTGAAATAACATAAGGCTTCCTAAAGAGTTTTCAGAAGTTGTTGTAAATTACTTTTATTAATAACTTTGTTAAAGTTTGTATTTTTTATTGCTATTCTCTGCATATGTTTTTAGTGTCGGTCTGTTTTATCTCAATTTTACCATTTTATTTTTTATGTTTTTATTTCTTCATAACATTTTGGAGGTTTTGTTGTATAATAATTGAAAATTAAAATTCTGTCTGTTCTAAAGTATTGATTATTATATTTTTTACTACAAATCCTTAACTTAATATTTTAACAGGGGATACTTACCGACAGTTAGCCTTTCGTATGTTAATGTATTTGAATGTGTTCATATAGTTCTAATAGCCTTTAGTTATACAATGTCAACACATGTAAATCTTTTCACACAACCTTATCCTTTTTTTTCAGACGGAGATAGTATAACAAACATTGGCCCTGTGGATGTACTCCTCTCTAATTGTCCAGATGTAGACTTCTTTGAAATACATAATAGGGTGTATATATGGCCCAGGTACTACTGTAATTAAAATTTAAGCATAGTTGTGATATTAAACAGAGAAGGCACAATCTGAATAATACTACTGTACAGCTGTAATCACCAAGTTATAGTAGTTGCGATAGCTTTAGCAAAAATTATTGTATGATTGTATGGAAAATTAATACTAGAATAGACTTAAGCTGTGTTCCTATTAGACTTCAGTTGGTGAGACTAACAATGTAGGATTACCTATCTGACAACGTTATCATACTGAATGATCAGTACATTCCCAAATACCTAGCGAAAGAAAATCTTGCAAGTGATTGAGGTGGGAATCGAACCAACAACTAGCCCGGTGTCTCAACCACTATACCACCGAGATTGTGATTAATGTTGAATCCGATTTTCAAGTAGCAGCAGGCACTGCAATGCTATTTGTTGCATCAAGAGATTTATGAATACTAACTAGTGGTAGATGGTCACTTTGACCAAAAGAATTTAATCGTTATAAATAATGTATAGAATTCCGTTACATTATTTTATTCTTATTTTACAGTCACACATGTCCTCCTGGTTTGTATTTTGTTTGGTACATAAATAAATTGAGAGACAACTGTTTGAAGACACTCATCTTGGGAAGGAAATTTGAAGAAAATATACAAGAAACCAGTGCAGATTTTAAATTACTAGCAAGAAACCTAATTCATGTCTGGTCCCAGGTGCATATTTATTTTGCAAAAAGTATATTATTAACATAATTATTATCCAGCACAGAGTTATAATTATTATGCAATATGCAACATGATTTGATTGAATACCCGTATAATAACCTGACTTAATTGGAAAATCACTGGCAGTATACCAACTAGGCCTCATAGCTCAATTATTAGCACCCTAACAGCATTTACCAAATATATATTTCCTTAAATAGTTATTTTTATCATATCTGTAGTTTAGTTAGCTTTCGTACCTATAATCGGTAGCCCCATTTGTTCATTTGTATTGTAAAAAAATTGAGTGAAATAAATGAATTTAATCAGGTTGTAGGGGCTTGTGTCCAAATCCTAATGAAAATACATCTCTTCAAATTTTTTAATTTTTACAATCAAAAAATGTTTGCAATCTTTCACTGTAGGTCGAGGGTTGTTTGATTACTGCGAAGATAGTAAATGAAGTTAACAAGGAACTCTTAGTTGTACACAGTGATGGAGAGGTGGATATTCTATGTGAAGACAACAGTAAGTATTCATTAGCATAAAAAACACTTCCACAATTATGTGGGTGTGATCTGCGGCCTGCAAAAATAAATTAAAAATCCTGTGTGTGCGGCCCACCTAGCATCTTTGGCTAGAAAGCCTCTTGTTGAAACCCCTTCAAGTGTAAAAAGTAATATTAAAACCACACATGAAGCAGTATAAAATCTATGAAGGTTTTTGCAAGCACGTTGGAAATGTCAAATTTTCATCATAAGTTTGCTTGCAGCCCTCGGTGTTATATAAAAATTCAGTTTTGGCCCTCCAACCCATTATTATGTCCACTCCTGTTATAAAATATTTAATAAGACACTTTGTGGTTTTAATCTCATTCAGAAATTTCAAGAAGAATATCACTCAAAGGTTACCAGCACTGTGAGAAGGAAAGCTTACATGTATTTAGAAGTAGACTGTTTGCTGTAGAACAGACAAGAATAAGGTAAATTAAAACAAATATGTTGTACAGCCCCATTGTGGGGAGGGGGTGGGTGTAGACACTTAGCTATTATCTCCCCTGTAAGTTGTAAGAGTAAATCATGTTGGACGAATGATGGAATGAGTCATCATCAGCTAAAGAAAAAAAATGAACAGTCTTTCGAGAGAAGCCTAGGAAATATATTGCCAATGTCTACATAAGATCCTGTCCTACATAGAACTAAAAAGTCAACAATCTGTTACTTGTACAGTGAGTGAATTGCCAACACAGAAAGTGTGGATGAGTTATGAGTTAAAAGTAGCCACAAATATCCTATGTCAAGCAAACTGTAGTCACTTGCTCCTGCTGGGAGCCTATTTTTTCAGATGTTACCACATGAAATTGTTTAAATTTACTTTTGCATTTAAGAATATTTTGCATGAAATCCGGAAACATTACACAAGAAATAGACCTGCACTCTCTAAGTGATACCGAGATCCATACATGGAGTGGGTTTGGCCCAGTACCAAGTGTTGGAGTTTGGAGCAGTAAAGGATTGTGGGAATTACAGGTAAATTAAAGGGTCATAATTTTTTTGTTTCCTATGCATAGCAACATAGGAAGCATTGTAATGGACTTCAATTGTGTGCTTCAAAAGTTATAAATTACAAGATAGTTTTCGTGTGATTACAGATGACAGAAGTGGACAAACTACAAGACCGCCAACAATTAGAAGAGTTTGGTCAAGATAGACTAGCCAGTAACGCTGTACTGAAACAACTGTTATTCACAGAAAAGTCGGGCGATATGAAGACAACATCCACTACAGAGCTACTGAAACCAGAAATGTTTCAGAATCCAGCCATTTTACTAGCATTACTACAACAGGTGAAGACAATCAAATATTTTTTATATATTTCAAATCATATAAACAGATATATTCATACACAGTAGTAACATCTACTAATGACAAACCTGAATACAAACTCTTTATGTAACAAATGAACATTTTGGTTATGGCATCATTATGAACAGTGTAATCTAAACACCAAAACATGCATTTAATGTCCACACTATCAAATTGTATGTGATGTGCCTATATTTGGATGTAGTATGACATTTCATGCCCATATATGGGAACATCACATACATTTGTCATATAAAATTTGAGTGTAGACACAGATTTAGATACCTGTTAAACTATAAACAATCATCATTTTGAAAACATCTATAATTTATATAAGAGATATACTTGTTTTACTAACTTGTCTTAAATTATTTGTAATTTTTGTAATTATATATATCTTGTGTTGCAATGAACCAAGTAAGAGATGAGCAAGTCTGCTTAAGTTATTAAATTTTTTGTTTTTCTCTCTCAAGACTAAAGAGGGCAGCAAACCCAATTCAGTTGTGGATGAGCAGGAGAGGTTGTGCTCACTGTTTTCTGGCAATAAACTTGACTGCGATCTGAGTGAGAGTATGGACTCTTTACTTAGTCAGTTCAAGCATCTCAATACACAGTACTCACAGCTTATGTCATTTCAACCAGAGGTTAGTGAACTCTAACATAACTGAATATGGGAATATATAAAGCAGAAACTATAGTGTTCCTATACATCACATTAAAAGCTTTTGATAGTAACTGAATATATCTTCCTCTCATTTAAGTACATATAAAGTATTCATTAATAATATTTCTGTATTATGTTGCAAATTTGCATAATAGGATCTCAAAAAAGATCCTAAGGGCACTCTTTATTATTCTTCCTCACCCACTCATATTTTTTATTAGTCAATAAAATTTTATTTTTATCTTGTACTTACACACATAAGATGCCTTTGGCAGCACCATTTTGCTAAATAGAAAAACAAAATTATTTTTTTACTCTGATAATTTATAGAAAAATAAAGATTGCTAAAAGAACGTATAAAAAATCTGTGGCTAGTTCTTTCTATGGCACCTTTATGTTAATGAGAAAATACTGATGATGCATTTAGTCATATTTACAATTCCAGTCCTATTACATGGTGATAACTCAGGAATTTAATACTTTCACTTATACAATTATTACTACAACGATTGTATATTATATTTACTTACTACTAATATTTAATTTTCAGTGGTGGATTCAAAGGTGGGGTGGGGGGAAGCCAAAAAGTATTTAAAAAGTGGAGAAAAAAAAGAAAAGTATATTCAAATTTAAGTTTGAAACAGCTATGTCCAGCCATCTAGAGGTGCCATAATCATACTTTTTCTAGCCACAGCCCCAACCATGGTGGGACTGAGGTGGGTGGATTTCTGCCTTTGGAAGTCCCTCCTTGGGCTCCCTTCTATTTCCAATTCCTGGATACGCCACCGAATTCATTCATAATTTTATTTTTAATTTTATTTTTTTAATTTGTATTATTTTTTTAATTTTATTATTTTTTTATTTTTTATTTATTTAAAACAAATTTTTTTTTTACAGAATGCAGTATCTCCCTCATCTTTCCTTTATGACGAAGTACTATTCCTCATTCAGGATTCTACCGTGCATTCAATTGGTCAGTCAACTATTATTCATGGTTATAAGCTTTGTTTATGACTACAATGATTTTATTTAGTTTCAGCCATCCTCACATAAGTTGACTAACTTTGATGTGAACACATTCTTGTTGTACTTGTACTATATATTTCTAATTAATTGAGTAAAGTGACTTAAGTTGTAAATTGATTATTTTAGATTATAGGTACTCTCAGATGGAAGTCTTAGCACAGCATTTTCCTTGTAAAGTACTTGACATATTGCTGCGATATCTCCATATAGGAAGGTTTGCAAATGGTCAAGAATAAGCATTCGAATTTCAGGGGAGATTGATTGTCATAATCAAGGAAAATATATAAAATTGAGTTCTTAAAACGAATCTGTCCTTGCAAGCTTATGTTTAAAAACTACAGATTCAAATATTAAGTGTGTGCCTTACAATTTATGTCATTTTTGTTTTAGCTCCAGCTATGGCGGCAAGCACTTTCCCACCTACCAACTTCTCACAGATCAAGGAGGGTCTCTGATGCTGCCAGGGCTACAGCTGATCTTATTCTTTTGAGGTAATTTTTATTTAATTTATTTAATAGGATTTATATAGCGCATATGTCTAGAAAAAACCGCTCAAGGTGCTTTTCCCCTTGTCATTAGATACAGAACATGCAACGTCCTCCACTCTCTGAGGAGTATTCCTAGTCATACATGTAATCATCAGTACTAATTTCAATCCAAATCATTCACCTCCTACCCGGCACCCATTTATACTCCTGGGTGAAGAGAGGCAAATGCAAATAAAAAGCCAATATTTTGCTATACGTTTAATTGAATTTTACTTGTTTTTATACTGCTTACTTTTTTGTTAGTGAAAATAGCAATTGTGAGGTAGAAGCTTTGAAAGTTTTGATTGACAGATGTCTGTGGGAGGATGCACTTCATCTGTTGCACAACAACAGTGGCACAGAACATCACAAGGAGTTGTTTGTCATTCTTGTCAACAGTATAACAAAGGTGCGTGATCAAAACGTTGTATCTTCTACGAACCAGTGATAGTGCCAATATAATGAAGTGAATTATTAGTGAACTTGGCAAATGATTATAATACAGTGGCGGTTTCAAGGGGGGAGGGGGGCCGGCCTAGGTCCCCCCAAATATAATTGAGAAAAAAGGAAAATTTTAATTAAATTTAAGTCTGAGAGTCCCATTTCTGGCTATCTAGAGGCACCTTAAACATAAATTTTCTAGAGGTGGTCTTGACCGTCTAGCTCTGAGAGTCCCCCTGGGGCCCCCTCTATTTTAAATTCCTGGATCCGCCACTGTAATATATGCTATTTATTATTTGTTCTATTCAAAATTTTTGCATGTTAAGAGACATACTTATAATAAACTGAAAACTGAGCTACTGTAGTTACTTGAATATACTCTTAAATTTCTGCCAGCAAATTAAAGGATTTTAATATTTAAACATCTGTAAAGCTGGACACTAGGCGACAGGACGCTGCAAGTTGATTTTTGGTGGCAGTCTTAACTGATCGTCTTTAAAAACAACTTGTTGCGCACACATTGGGGCGTTCCTAAAGAAATCATGTTGACCCACGACCATTGGGTGCAGTGCTTGGCTTAAGTAATTGAAAACTGTTTTCATTTTACAATGTGTTTTCAGCTTTGCTAATCATGCTTGTGTGTATAAAATACTTGCCTTAAGGGATCTATTAATTTATAATTACTTTCTACGACCTTGATTTTTTAGGACAAGCAAGCCTTCAAGGAACACTATGCCTCCCTTTGGGATTGCATTCCTGACAGTTTCAGGTATGAAATCAAAATTATTATTCATTAGGAACATTAAGTATATATACAGCTAATGAAATGGGACGAAAATAGTTTGGAGAAATGATTTAAGCCTTGACCAGACTGTCGAATTGTATTTTGACAAAAACATGCGACATGCCTACATATGGTCATGATGACATCACATCATGACCATATATAGGCACATCATGGCTATATATGGGCATACAACAGTTTTTTGTCAAAGAAATTTGATATTGTGTACAGAGATTTAGGCATGAAAATTATTCTAATTTCACTCATTGTGCATTTTATGACTGAATGCTATTACAATACATATAATATATTCTTTAGAAGACGCTTTGTAAATCCCACTACTATAGTTCATTTATTACCATTGATATTATTATCCTTATTATTATAGTAATAATGAATTCATTTTTGTATCTAGAATAACAGATGTCGTAAGGATTTTCAGTCTTCATACCAAACGCTTCCACCACACCCAAAGCAATGAGGTCTTCACACAGACTCCAGATGATCTGCCTGTGTCTTGTATTAAAGGGCAAGTCTTGAAGATGTTCCTCAACGAATCAGTACCAGACTGATTGACTTCATCAGGCAACACTTGTGCTAGAATGAATTTAACTTGTGAATCAATGGGGGGTTTTTGATAAGTGTGAGTAGGGTATTACAATTCATAGCTGCCAAGTCAAGAGCTGTTGCTGGCTTCACACCCACCTCAGCACAACCATGGTTGAGACTGAGGCAAGGACATTTTAATTTTTGCACCTTTAGGTGTCTGGAAATACTCAGAGACTTCAAAAACATTTCTAAATTTAGAACACACAAAACAAAGAGCTACAAAAATGTATAATAGTATTGTGTATAATAGGCCTAGGCCAAAACCAGGCAGTAATTGCAACATGGTATCCTCTGTATTTTTTTTTTATGCGACTTATTGGAAACAGTGTGTGATTTCACAAGTTATTGATTGAGGAAAGCTATCTGACAGGAGAGAGTGACTGTTTTTCTAAAGCCTCTAAGTCATGGAGTCATCCCCAATGGTGCCACCACATAGGAAAACAGGAGCTGATGCAAAAAGGCTCTAATGAATTGGATCATTGTTCCGCAACCTCCAAACCCTGAATTTTAAATATTATAATTTACCAAAAATAAAATATTGATTAAAAAAAAAACTCCTATACATTTTTAATGAAGTTTTGTGATTATTTATAATATTTTTGTGATTATTTAGGCATGCTTAATCATTGATTAATTTATTTATATTAATTATATTATTATATTAATATAAGATATTTTAACTATTATAATGATGTATATACTGTAAATTATATTTCAAAATGCAATAATGTTTGGTGCTATGAGTTGTAATTAAAAATCAATGAAGTTATAAAATGGACACTGAATCAGTGGCGGATCAAGGAATTTGAAATAGAGGGGCTAAGGGAGGAACCTTTACAGATAAAGTGTCTAAACCACCTGAGTTCCACCATGGTTGGGGCTGAGGTGAAAATGTTACGGCTATGACTCCTACATAGCCAGGAATAGAAAATTTGAATATAATTTTCTTTTGTTCTCCATTTTAAAAAAATGCTGAATAATTTAGGGGTGGGGGCTGAGCCAACTGTGCCCCTTGAATTCGCCTATGTGAATATTAGAAAGTGTCAAAACAAAACTGAAAGATACTTTAAGCCAAAACAGTAAAATAAAAAAATTCACACTGAGTATTGGTTTACTTGAAGAAACTTTCTCTACAAAAACAGCAATATACTCAACTTTGGAAATCTATTGTTAAATGTTTGTTTTTGCAGTTACATTATTTTGTTGTCAAATGTTGATTAAATTAAATCACATGAAATAAAAATATATTTTTCATGGTATATATGTACGACTGAAAAAGAAGATTGTTTTGACTACGAGTTGGAACAAAGACAACATAGTTAGTACTGTACATACTTTTAGGCTTTGTGGCAGATGTAAATCACATTGTAAATGGCTTCTAATGATACGCTGCCATGACAACCAGCGACTTTATGAGTACTGAGGTATATTAAGGGACCTCAGTCCATTAATGGAGGGAGGTCCCTTAATGCTGTTGGACCAATACTACCAATGTTTGTTGAGAGAGATTTTCATATAGCTTGAGCTACACTAAATAATGATGTCTTTTGTGACACTTGTGATTTAGCTTGACAACTGTGTGGTACCTGTCTCTTATACACATCTAGATGTGTATAAGAGACAGCATCATGGCTATATATGGGCATACAACAGTTTTTTGTCAAAGAAATTTGATAGTGTGGACAGAGCTTTAAAGACTTGATATCTTTTCAGATATCTGACAGAATGTGCTATGGTTTATGAATCAGCATTTTAATGCATTTTGTGCTGAAAAATACACTTGTAACCACTTGATCTAGCCTGATATTTTGTTTTCATAAAGTATATTAGGGATTGCAGTCCAACTGGATGTATGGTGATTAATAGAAGCCAATCAAATAACAGATTTTAGGATTTAAGTGTCACAAGTATATTAAACTTAAATATTAAGTCTTCATTAACCTAGAAAACTCATTTTAGAAGTGAGTGTTGTGACTGCATTGATGCAAATTTTTGATTGATTTTGCAACTATACTGATTGATTTTGCAACTATACTGGGCTATCATAATAAATAATAATAATAATATTTATTGACATTACACTTTTACATCAGTGGCAGCACACAAGAAAGTGGCGCAGTCAAACTTAAACTAATGAACAAATAGTAAAAACAACAACTTAAAGCAGGACAGACATGCTTATTTATTTATTTTTTATTTGATTTCCTTTTTATGTTGTTTCGACTTTTATTGCCTTTAAGGCATGCCCAGCACAAGATCCTTATCTTCTCGGGATCATGCCTTCTTCCATAGCTTGTTTTCATTTTTATCTTAAATCATATTGCATTGTATATTTTGTGTTTGTTCAATGTAAGTAAATAGAAGTCTTTTGAAATTGAAAAATTTGAAATTGAAATTATAGGCCTAGTTTTGTTGAATGAAAATGATGAATTTTTAAATTTCTATTTATTTTTAATTTATTCTCCATCGGATATTAACACTGGCTCAGTAATTTGACAATTTTCCCAAGATTCTCTCAGAATTCAGTCACTTGCAAGACTAAAACCGACTATATTAACCAATATATTCATAAGCATTTTGATTGTTGTGGGGAAATTATGATATAGACAAAAAAGGCCATAATGTTTTATTGGATCCCACGTCACAAGGACTTTCTTGTGCCACCATTGGTGACGTTTCACATTGTTGGACCAGGAACAGCTTATGCTGTACATACAGTAACCCCTTCTCATTGGGCAGAATTAGTCTAAAACTCCGGTGTACCACGCACAGTGACTCCGCATTGACGCCTTATAGATGGGTTTGTAGACCGAAGACCAGTGATGTGTTGACTTCATCTTCAAGCGCGAGTACCCAACAGCATTGATTATTGAAGGCATCCATGCTCTACTGATCACAATGTCAGCTCCCATGCATAACATGCATGTTTTATTGAGTAGTATGGGTAAGAGTCTATAAGTGTCGCTGTGTTTTACGGTCAGTGTTTTATTGATTCCAAAGAATTAATTCTTATATTGTATTTGGCTGCTGGCCGGCAAGTGGAGCAGTAAATATTATTGATATCTGTGTTATGAAATTTGAATTTTCCTGTATGTCCTCGACACTATTCACCCACCATGCACTTCCGGGCTAAATAAACTGCTTTAATGGCGATGTATGAATTGTACAATTTTCCCTGCCGAAAATTCATCTTGCTATAAAATAATTCATAATGGATTGGAAATGAATAGCACATGTCAATATGTGCACTGTAAAACAATGGATCCCCGACTATCACAATCTCTAGACAATCTTCTAGACTTTCGTGGGCTATCCTTGGTGTCTACACCGAATAAATCCAATCCAATCTAAGACCAACAGAAGACATCTTTTAACGTTCTCCTGATGATGGTCGGTCAGAGCAATCTCACTAAAACGTCAAGACAATCAACCAGTGGTTTTACCAGGGTTTTACCTAAACAAAACCATATTCCTACACATGGTAATTTTGTTATTGATACTCGCCATGCAAACCTTCAGGAAATATATTGTATTCTTATTTTTAATCAATTCCTACAGTAGCACTAGAGGCGTAATCAGGGAGCAATCCCGATTGCGTCGGGGGACATCTACGCAATGCAACGATTGCAGCGGTGCTATAGCAACTGTGTAGCGGTTCTATGGAAGCAAGCTTAATTTAAGAAATAAAAATCAAAGTATGAAAACAAATTACATATATTCTTTAAATTTATTGAAGCCAACTTGCATGAAAATTTGATATAAATAAAAGCTGGAAAATCAATTTATTATACATAAGTTTGCAATTTATCTATTTACAGTAATCATTTTTATTAAATAGTCATTTTCCAATTAACATAAAATCAGTTCAGAGTAGATTCAATTCTTAACACAGTTTTTTTTTAAAATCTAATATTGTACAGTCTGGCAACTATACAAATAATGCACCATTTGTCCATATTATTTTGGCACACATTGTATCAAACATTTTAAAGTAACTAAATTACTGTACAAATTCAGCAGTTATGATTATTTCTTTAAATTAATTTACTGTATAATAATTTTAGATATCAAAAACAATTAGGTCCAATGATAAGATAACCATGTTTAAAATATACTCTAAATAAGGACAGACAAGTCATTATGATTGAAATCATCATTCCTAATGATCATCTATTATTAAGATCAGAATATTGAATCGTAACTGTTTGCATGTCCTTATTTGGAGTATGGTTTTAGAAATCAGTTTTGTGTGTAAATACTGCACAGTGATACTGACAAGTCTACTGTTGATACCATAGAAACTATCTGTCATTATTTTATTAATTATCATAGATAATTTAGCTTTAATGCACAGTATACTAAACTTACAAATATTTTTATTTTTTTTATTTTTTTTTACTCTAATTTTCCAAACTGTGACCAGTACAATATACAGCTAATTTACATACTCTCACATACAACTGATCAAGATGAAGCTATTTACTCTCTGTAAGAGATGAACAGATTTAAATACTAAATATTGAATAATAATACTGAAGGCAAGGCTACTAAAATATTTATTAAAACCACGGCAGAAGGATGTCAAGGACCTAAAATTTTAAATAGCAATAAGAATATTGATATAAAAACTACTGAAAATACCGAAAAAATGCAAAAATTCCTACATTCACCTTCGCAAATCTCAGAAAATAAATACTACTGTACAAAGTTCCTGTTTTACTATCAGTTGGTGTGAATATCCTCCTGATCCATGGGTCAGATTTTTCTCATCTTCTTTAAGTTATCTTTCTTGTTAGATCTAAACAATGGAAAACATAAATATATATACTTGCATTAAGAAAGGGTGACTGTAGACAAGAAAACAGTGATAATATTTTTGAAGATTTTTTATTGTGAGTCATACATTGCAATCAATTGAACCCCAATTGTTCAACAAATGCACCAATAGCCAATACATTTATCTTCACAATGCACCTTTGCAAAACTACGCTGCTGTTAATTCCACTGTGTTCCTGTATTCTAAGCCTAGTTTAAGCTGCTACAAAATCAATAATTTAGGCCTACTACTGTATGTGCTGGAGACACATGACAACATTGAATACAGTTTATCCGATAAGTATGAGGAAACTGGTAGTTTCCGTAATGCGTCATACTGTATATTTCAAGAACATTTTTTTTTACACAAAGAATGAGGTCTCAAATAAGTTGGAGACTTCTGTTTAAAAATGCTTGACATGTACATGGAATTTAAATCCAAAACAAGCTTGTTTTGTAGTACTATGCTCCTTTTTTCTCCTTCGTTTCTTTTCTCTCTCTTTTTTTTTTCTAAAGGGAGCCTTAGCCACCGTTTTGAATGGACTTTCCCGTTTTTATAAAAAAACCTCACTTCCAATACTGAAGTTTTTGGTGCCCAGACAATTTTTTTTTCTTTTTTAACACAGCCATGCTTTTTGGTTGCAACTGGAATTACACCATAATCTGTTGTGTTGGAGGAGAATAAATAGAAAAAAAAAAATTACTCCCCAAATAAATAGTTTATGCATGCTTATAATATTTCTTAAAAATTAGGTTAAAATATAAAAAGAATTAGAAAGAGTATACAGTACAGTATATTAAACAAGCAGAATTCTGCCAGGTGTTAAATTTTAACCTGCTGTGATGCTTCATCTCCTACCATCAGATTGCTGCTAAAGAATAAATTCTAACTGACAGTTATTTACTGAAGTTCTGATGTCATTTTCTAGAGTAGATACTTTGCTATTTTCCATAGTACAGCAGCAAGAATGTTGGCAAGCATAGTAGGTTTGAGGCAGTGGCATACCCAGGAGTCATGAAATAGGGGTGGGCTGATGGGGGCGCGATGGTGAAGTACTTGATGATTAAGTGAGGGGGCGTTAACTCGCAAAATATGGTGACATAAGGTAATTTTTATCTGATTGAGCTTGATTTTTTGGCTTCAAATATTTAAAATGAGGGGTGAATGAATGGGTAGGGCGCATTTTTTTTTAGGGGTGGGGTGTGCAATTGTGTTTTGGAATGTCTATTGCAAACTGTGGTGGGTTTTTTTGTACTGCATGAAAATGCTTTCAAAATGCTTAATGATGGAAGAAATTGTGTTCAATGTTCAGATTTTAAACAAGTTCTCATAATCTCGAAAGCTCCGATGAGGGCAGTATATTGGCCCTACAGCCACCCATACAAAAAATATCTACTAATCAATCAAATAATCAATCAGCCGTGTGTTTCTAGAGCTCCTCACTGGAGCTAAAAATGAGTAACAAGAAATAGCATTTTATTTATGAATAAAGTCAAATGCAATTTTTCTCCTATTAATCGAATTTTATATAAATTTAATAGGACACACTATTTGACCTCTTACCAATTGATGCCCTGAAGGCCATTTCCTGTTTACATCATATGTGCAATCTTTCATTCCTACAGTACGTTTACCTGATTTGTTGTGATTGTGACAAGTACATTGATTCGTAGAGCAAAAAAAAAGTAGGCCTGAAAAATACAATTTTTGCTAAGCAGGGCTGAAAACTAACATGTAACCATGGTGGCCATTACAAAACATGCTTTTTCTGGAAAGACACCAAGAAACATGGGAACAACTAAAGTGCCCAAGGAAAAATCGTTAAAATTATTTATTGCAGTAATAAATTTTAATATCTAATAAATAAATATATAAATAAAGTAACAATCCCCTTTCACAGTGACATATACTGCACGGTGTATACTGTAGAAGACAAAGAAATACATACCAAAAAATACCTGTAGAGCTGTTATACATCAACTGCCGGTGTGTCGGGTAAATATGGATTATCCATATCTGTGTAACCTCCTTTGTCACTAAGCGTTTCGTGTGCTCCATCAAACATGCGCTGGAAAAATCCTATACATTCTCCTCGCCGTAAATATAAGATTATCATTGCAAGCAAGCCTACTATACCAAACACTATACTCAAGGCAATGTAGGAAGTTGAGATTTTCTCCTCAGTGTCTTCGCATTTTCCCTTCAGATCCTCTTTGGGGTTCAAGTCTACCAACTTGCGTCCAAAGATCTTCTTAAGCGAGTCATTGCTGCACAAATATTCTTCTTTGTTGACAATGCTAACAAAATTGCTTTCATTTAACCATGTAACAAAGTCATATAAGTGACAGTTACACACAAATGGGTTTCCAGTGAAATCCACTGTGAGATTTATGAAATTTTCGAGATCATCGATAATGTCTTGGCTTATCGTTTGCAGCTTGTTTCTGCTCAGGTCAACAAAAACTAAGTTTGGTAAATGTGTCACATTTAACGTCCCCCCAAAAAACAAGATTAGAGATGTGTTGCGCAAAGATATCGTGGTGATGCTCGTCTTACTCTCTTTACCGTATAAACTAAAGTTAAACGTTGTGACATCTAGCCCACCACTAAGGTCATTATCATCGAGAATTATAGATTCAAGCAAAGAAGTATGCGAGTGCCTGAGAGCCGTACCGATGCGACTAGCATATGCGCCGCTAAAAAATGCGTTTTTCATACTCAAAATCTTTAATCTATTCAAGCTACTGATGAGTTTTCTTCCACTTAAAACAAGTTTGTTATTGTCTAATATAAGCTGTTCTACCACTTTAAAATCTTTATGGTTGAAAGCACTTGGATCTATGTACATCAATTCATTCCCAGTCAAATTTAACACCTTCAATTTTGGCATTTCCTTATTTAAAAAATTTGCTGTTAGATTTGTGATATTACTGTCTGTTATATGCAGTTCAGCAGTATTGTCTGGTATCAATTTTGGTAGTCCATATTCACCAGTGCACACTATCTTTAACAAATCACCGTCTAAATCAGTACATGTACACCAACTGTCATGGTGAGAGGATTTACAGTTCAGTGCAACGGAACAAGGGATAGTTAACAGGAGAAGTAAACACAGCATCGTGAAGTCTTCAGCAATACTTCCTTGCGATAGACTGCTGCAAATAAAACTGTATTAAGTTATTAAATATATAACAAAAATAAAATCAATTATAATAAATTATAAGAAATACCCACGAATCAACATTAAAGTTGGACTAGTACTGATATTCATGTTTCCCAGTAGCGGATTTAAATATTTAAAATATCCGGGAAAATAAAAAGGTTTAATATTAATCAAATTTAGGTCTGAGATTTCCATTTCCAGTTATCTAGCTGCGCCATGACTTTCTAACCACACCCTTGGTGGGGCTGAGCCACAACCTTGGTGGGGCTGAGCCACAACCTTGGTGGGGCTTAGGTCGTCTAGGCTCTCCATCTGTAAAAGTCCCTCCCTAGGCCCCCTGTACAGTATTTTGAATGACTGGATCCACCACTGTTTCCTAACACCACCCGCTACCTCACAAAACAGGCCCGTGTCCAGGGGGAGTTTTTATGGTTCGGGAGAATCCCCTTTTTTAGCAAATCCCCCTCTTTTCTGGCGAAACCCAATCTTTAAATTTCCCAAATAAGTCCTCCAACTCAACTAATGCACTGCAGACCCACCCAGACATTTTCTAACATACAGTATCTGTTTGTATAGAGCATTATTTAGACCCATAAAGCACAAAAATCCTCTTGCTTTGGGGGTTTTGCCGACCCCACCGGGGCTTCGACTGTGGACCTCACGCCCAGAAAACCCCCTCACGCCCAGAAAACCCCCTCTTGGAAGAACATGGCTACGGGCCTGCAAAACAGCCACATTAGGAAAGGAAAAAAATTAAAATCACTTCTACAATGCAATGGCCTAGCCAGACAGACAATTTCTCTACATTCTGAGCTGCACTTACCATATTCAAGGTTCTGTATACTATACTACAGTATTTCTATAATATAATACGTAATCATAAAAACAATTGTTTCCGAGACAATACACTATAAAAGTACAAAATTTACAAATTTATTCAATAATTTTGGATGTCAATAGTATACAGTTAAGTACAGGCAATAATGGTATTCTGAAAAAATACCAATGTTGCATTAAACTGAATCCTGTGTAAAGTTCAGGGACAGTAATTTGGAATAATAACCTACAGTACTGTAATTGTTACAGAATTATGGATTCACTTCATCAGAAAGATAAGTATTAACCAAATGATCAAATTCAGCCTAACTAAATACACTTCTTAAAGCCTGCACAACTCCCATTGTCTGGGAGTAAATGATGCATGGATGTCTCATAGTTATTCCTAAAAGTTGAAAATCGATAAGAATTATAGGAGTTATCAACACAATAGATAATTTCATGGCCTACAGGGTATTTGAATATCATTAGTAAATTGTGTTAGAGTGCAATGTTATGTTTGTACTTTTTCTTTTCGCATGTTGACGGCTTCCTTGTCAATCAGCATCCATTGCACAATCATATACTGTATTTAAAGAAAATTAATAAAAATGAATTTTTTTCTCTACGTTCATGCTGAAGTGCGCAGCTCATTGTGGACCAAATTCACAAGCCCCATGTACATTGCCAAGGTCACTATCCAATGCAGGGAAACTTAAAAAAAATAGTAACAACTTAATGGCCTCCAGGTCAGTGTACTGGGGCGGATGAAGGGGGTACAGAGGGTGTGGTCGCACCCCCCTAAATTCTATTAAGAAAAATAACTGTTGTATTAAATTGTTGATATATGAATTAAAGATTTTTAAGGTATGAGAGTGCAATTTCCTGGCACCCAGAGGCTGAGCTGATGTGCACTCTTCACAGACCCATGGGTGCAGATCACTGGGAAAGTGGAACACGTTCCCCCCCCCCCCACATATTTTTAAGGGAAAGGGTTGGTCCCCTCACTTTTCGGGAATCAAGTAGATATGCCTAAAAATTGTTGAAATAAACAGCATAAACGACTCAGGTTTTAACAAAAGAGCGCGGCAGGCCTACAGCCAGAGTACATCTTATTTTATAGCAAGATACCGGTATACTCCGCCCACAAGCATCTGAATTACATTTCATAGATGATTCAAGTGCCCGTGCCTTTACTATAATTTGAGACTTTCTAGAGGTGCTGAGCGACACCCGACCACGCCTGTCTCTTATACACATCTTATATATATATATATATATATATGTTTTTTCCTGAATGTTTATCTACTTATGTTACACTTAAAGTGTAGTAAATAATTACAAACTAAATTAAAATATATGAAATTCTCATCGCACACTTGCCACTGGCAATTAGTTTCATAACAAGAGCCAACCAAAAATTCATTGAATAAAGAAGTAAGACTAGGGTATACTAAGCTGCTCTCAAATGGAAATTTATAGCAAACAAGCTCTCAACGTCAAAATGAAGCCATAATTGCATACTGTATTTAGATACTGGAAAGAAAGGTCTGAGCAGTCAATTAATGTTACTTTTGTTAATTATAATTGTGTCCAAGTGGAAGAAAAATGCACCGATGATTCATCTGCTTTTCTGTTCTTGTGCATCTTTAACAGACGATACATTCTGGCCACATAATTCGATTTTTAAAGAATAATATATTTTAAAGAACATAATATATAATATCATAAATTTCATTTGACATTTTAGTGTTAAGCTTCCTTCTCTTTTGACTGTGAAATCATCTGTACGGTACACAATTTAAATCCCAAACACTGCTTTATCTTTCTGTTTAACTCCATTAATTCCTTTGTCTTTGTATCAAATGATTTATTGTAGTGTTTTTGAAATTAAATAAATTCGTATATTGAGTTACTGATTGATCTGCCTATTCAAATAACGTTATCGCCAATCCCTAATACTGTGGGAAGACGCTAGGTAGCAAAGCAAGGTCATGTTAACTATTTACAGTAACTTGTCTTTTCATATTCATTACATTTAAGTGTAATAGCGCTCCGAGAGATTATTTTTTCACATTCGCAGATTCCTCTTCATTAACATTTATAATTTATTCCTTTTTCACATTCACAAAGACGATAAACTGTAACATACCAAAAAATATAGTTTATACATCAACAGTGGGTGTTTCGGGTAAGTATGAATTATCCATATCTGTGTAACCTCCTTTGTCACTATGTGCTACATCAAACATGCCCTGGAAAAATCTGAAACATTCTCCCCGCCGTAAATATAAGATGATTACTGCTAGCAAGCCTACTACGCCAAGCATAACACTCAAGGCGATGTAGGAAGTGGAGTCTTTATTCACCACAATGTCTATGCATTTATCCTTCAGATCCTCTTTGGGGTTCAAGTCTACCAAATTCCGCCCCCTGATCTTCTTAAGCGAGTCATTACTACACACATATTCTTCTTTGTTGACAATGCTAACAGAATTGCTTTCATTTAACCATGTAACAAAGTCATATAATTCACAGTTACACACAAATGGGTTTCCAGTGAAATCCACTGTGAGATTTATGAAATTTTCGAGATCATCGATAATGTCTTGGCGGATCGTTTGCAGCTTGTTCTTGCTCAGGTCAACAAAAACCAAATTTGGCAAATGTGTTTTATTTAACGTTCCCCCAAAAAACAAGATTAGAGATGTATTGCGCAGAGATATCGTGGTGATGTGACTCTTACTCTCTTTACCGTATAAACTGAAGTTAAACGTTGTGACATCTAGCCCCCCACTAAGGTCATTATCATCAAGAATTATAGATTCAAGTAATAAAGTATGCGAGTGCATGAGAGCCGTACCGATGAGACTAGCATATGTGCCATTAAAAAATGCGTTTTTCATACTCAAAATCTTTAATCTATTCAAGCTACTGATGAGTTTTCTTCCACTTAGAACAAGTTTGTTATTGTCTAATATAAGCTGTTCTAGCACTTTAAAATCATTGTGGTTGAAAGCACTTGGGTCTATGTACATCAGTTCATTCCCAGTCAAATTTAACACCTTCAATTGTGGCATTTCCTTTTTTAAAAAATTTGCTGTAAGATATGTGATATTACTGTCTGTTATATGCAGTTCAGCAGTATTGTCTGGTATCAATTTTGGTAGTCCATATTCACCAGTGCACACTATCTTTAACAAATCACCATCTAAATCAGTACATTTACACCAACTGTCATGGTGAGAGGATTTACAGTTTAGTGCAAGGGAACAAGGGATAGTTAACAGGAGAAGTAAACGCATCATCGTGAAGTCTTCAGCAGTGCTTCCTTACGGTAGATTGCTGCAAATATAATTGTATTAATTTATAAATAATAACAATAAATAAAAATAATACATAGGAATCAACATTAAAGTAGGCCTACTGGTATTAATGTTTCTTAACATCACCTTCTCCCTCACAACACCCCCAGTAGGACAGGAAAACATGAAATTCATTTCCACAATGCAACAGATAATTTCTCTAAATTCTGATCTGCATTTACCATATATTTAAAGTTCTGTATAAGAAATAATATTTCCATAATTGAGTGGAGTAGAATATCTTAGTGGTTCTTGCTTTCCAATCCCAGGGTCCTGTGTTCAATTCCTGTCAGTGTTGCAGGACTTTTTCTCACTCCTTAAAACTCATATTGAGATTTAGTTTGTGTAAAGCATCATGTGTTTATGTTTGCCTTGTGAAAGGGATTGTCACCTTCAAGTAGGACAGTGATATATTCACTATTGACAATCCTTGGTGCATGTGTTGTATGCCTAAATAAATTAAAATAAAAAAATTAGGCCAAAAACAATTATTGTGTTGGCCACAGCCGACCAATTTTTTTTTTCTCGAAATTAAGAGTCTGCATTTTATTTATTTATTTATTTTTTTTTTTTTCAACGAACAATATTTTTTTATTAGCAAATAAGGCTGAAATAGCCTTGTCGAGACTAGGGGGCTAAGGCTAGCCTATTTTGCTGGATGGTACAC